AAAAAATTGAACAAGCTCGAAAATGAAAGTCTTCTTCAAGGCGAAGAAAAATGCTGCCGAGAGTCAAACAAAAGACTCTTGCCCGTCTCGAAGAAGCTCGCAAGAACCGTCGAAAGCCTCCAGATCCAACCCAGGATTCATTCGTGGAAAAAATGATCACTCAAGTGATTAAGAATCTTCAGGTCTGTCTCTTTTTTCGCCCACTGCCATGTGCTTTTCGTGACGGTTGTCATTGAAAATATTCTGGCGTTTCTCGGAGGGTCTTCATTAACCATTGCCCCGATTCTCTAGGTAACTGTGTCTAATATCCATGTTCGATGGGAAGATAAGTATACAAATAGAATTCGTCCTTCGGTGGCTGGAGTTACCCCTGGAGAGGCTCGATTCAGCGTAAGCTTCCGTCAACCTCCGTATTAGTGTTGGGGACCTCTTATTTTCGCAGGTTCGTGTGACTTTTCAGATCAACTACTGAGAATTGGATCCCAACCATTCATAGAGATGTTGTGAAAATATTCCATAAACTTGTTCTGCTTGACAATCTGGCCGTCTACTGGAACTCGGGTTCAGAATTATTCTCAGATTTGCCTGATAAAAAGGAGATCCGTAGAAGCTTCAGGCTACAATTCACAACGGAAGCAATCAGCCTGATGGTTACAAGTATAGTGAGTGGCTTCCTCAATTTGAGATATGTAATGTTATAGAAGGCGTTCAACTCTAACAGACTCCAACTTCCCTCTCCGAAGAACCTCGGCATTGTCGTTATTATAATGTAATTCTTCTGCCCACGAGTTACTAACCATAACTAACCCGGAGTGGCGTTATTCTGCTCTTGCGGTGGTGGACTGGGCCTTTGAGGGAGACGACCTCGTCGAAACGTCAGGCCACTAATAATGTTCCATCTAAGTTGGCAGAAGAATTACATTATACTTGCGTTCAACTTTGTTTCCTGGAAGTTAATAGTTTAGAGATCGATTTTCGATATCTAACAGTAATTCAACGTTTTACTTTTGAGAGAGGATCGGTTATCATTTCATCGATTCAACGATTGAGATTGCTCGTATCGAATGACATGAGCAATTTTGAGCTCTTGTATGGAGCAAGATAACTTTCGTTAAAACAATTTTTTTTTGAGCCACAGTGAAGGCGGTGTATAGAATGTTTTGAATTTCAGTTCTACAGCCTATCAAAATGCAGGCGAAGCTGAAGTTGAATCAAAAGCCGGAGTCGGATGGGACGAATTGGAAAACTCCGAAGGCTAGTGAAAATTGTTTTTGTTACTTGTGTACTTCCTGCAATTTGCATAATTTCTCAATTTTCAGATAGATCTCTCTATTGATATGGAAACATTAGCGTTGGCTATTGGGAAATTTCAATATCAGGATATTTTACTGTTCCTAGAGGCACAAGAAAGGTGTGATCTTTAGGGTTTTTCCTCCAAATAGAGATCTAATGACTGGGGTAGACTCTGAGAAGGCTCAGCGGTTCCTGTTCTGTCTACGATGTTTTTTGCTTCTTTAGATTCAATCTCGCAACGCAGTATCTGAAATACCGCCCTCATCTCAACGAATATCGTGGACACTACAAAGAATGGTATGTCGCTGGTTACAACTGTAAATGAGCTACTTGAACTTAACCGTAATTCAAGGTGGCATTTTGCTTATACGGCCATATTGGAAGAGAAAGTTCGTCGTCGAAGGAATAACTGGTCATGGCCCAGAATGCGTGCCCATAGACAGCTTGTTCGCGCATATCGAGATGCATGGTTGAAACAGCAAACAACGAGAAGTCCGGGGTCAGAAGTCACTGACGTTATCAAGGTCAGCGAGAAATATGGCAAGCTCAATCGATTAATCCATTCTATTGGTCGTGCATATCATTAAAATTATTGGTTTGAGTGGCTGGAAGCGTTCACGTTTTGGTTTTAAATGTCATCACTAGGGTATGCCGGCTAGTCAATGAAAGTCAAGGCGTGAACAAATATCACTCTAGCTAGTCACGGCCTAGGTTCACTATGGATGAGGATTTGTAGCCATTAGTTTGGCGAGAGGAGAGGGATCGTGTTCAAGGATTGAGGGCGTCGTAGATGGGAGATCGGTGATAGAATAAAACACGTAGAGGTAATAAGCGCATGTACTGGTTATTGAGATTAGTGTCTTTCTTCTGCCGACGAGGTTTCTAATTGTCAACTATTAACATCCTGACCTTTCCACCCGATTGTCTTCTTCAACGAACAGCCTGCCTCTGCGAGAGCGGAAAGCGCCACTCTAGTTAGTAATGGTCAGTAAATGTAAAAATCTAAAAGTTCGCTAGCACAAGGAAAACTCTAATTTCAACGAGATGCCGAGGTTCTATGAAGGGAAACCTGGAGGATTTGTTGGTTGAACAGTCACTATACATAGACCCTTCCCTCACCTCGCTTGACTTCAGTTTGGAGAAATTGAGGGGGCATTGTGGAGTAGGTTATAGCATAAGTGTCAGCAAAGGTGTTGACACCAGTGGGGGGAAGAGTCGTTATTGGCAGACTTCGACCCATGGCTTACCCTAGCTGTGGCCCGCCTTGTGGGGAACTCAGCTGACCACTCGCATATTCTGATAAAGCTTATAATCTTTTCTAGAAAGCAGAGGAACAACTGGATGTTTTTAACGTAAATGTCGCACGACAGCAGGCTGAAATGGACATCGATCGTCAGGGATTGAAGAGAGTCGAAGATCAGCCACAAGGATGGCTTGCGTGGGGAGCAAGTTGGTGGGTTTGGGGAGGTTTCAAAAAAGTGAAAAAGGACGGTGAAAGGTTTTGTACAGGCTCGGAGTTGGAGGCGGAGATGAACAAAGTGATACCAAAAAGTCAAAGGATTTCGCCACACAGTTCAATGAAGCGATGACTCCGGCAGAGAAGGAAAAACTCTTTGAAGCGATCGACTATCAGGTAATTCGGGTTTTGTGTTTGAACTTCTTTTTCCTGGTAACCCATTTGAACATTTCCTTCAGGAGAACATGCCACCTACAAATTATCCTAAGGAATTTGTGGAAAACAAACTAGATTTCCGTTTAAAACAGGTATATGTTTTATTGTTATAAATGTTGTTATTTATTTATTTACTCGATTACTTTGTTGTTCGAATGTGCCACAGAATGCGTACGATTTCAATATCAAGTGAAACCAAATTCATCACCCGAATCGTGTTCAGGTGGCTGTAGCTGTAGATGGTGCTGTAGAGCTTAATCTACTCAACCTGAGAGCACATTTAGAGCAACGTCCGAGTGCGAATGCTATGAAGTACGTCCCTATAGATATCTAGTTCCCAGTTTCTCTCCACCACCACTGAAAAGCCATTTTTAGTCTGCAATCATCGATCCAGGAGCTCAAAATGAACGGTTGCGGAGCAGAAATGCTGCGCGTGAGGGATCCATCAAAGCCATGGCTCAATATGTGCGTGGACACCAACCCTCTTCATGGAAAATACGACCAATCAGTGCAACTAGCCATCGCGCCCGTCAATTTGAAGTACCATGCGCCTGCTGTGAATAGTGCTATCGATGTACGTCTTGTTTTTTTTTTTACATGAGCGATCTCATTAAA